TTTTTTTTTTTTTTTTTTTTTTTTTTTTTTTTTTTTTTTTTTTTTTTTTTTTTTGATAAATAAATGATTGCGTGTCGTAAGAAACTAGTTAGCAATTACCTTATATAACTTTATGTCTTAGTAATTGTCGTGTACACAAATTATGTAACACCTTGATCACGCCACGTACAACATTTAGAAACTTAAGAAAAAGTGACCAAATTGATGTTGAGATTTTGAGTAATAAACGGGGGTTATTGGGTTATTGCGCAGAACATATAGTCAGGTGGAGCCACATATATATATAAGGGACATTTGACGTCAACGCGAACGCTCAAAAAGTAGATTTTGCTTTTATCTAGCGCAATCGATAGTACTCATCGAGAAAACAATCCCCTAATTTTTTCAGATTTTTTGACCCACCTCATGACCGTCAGTAACGGTCACAAAATCGGAATTTTTTTCTCTAGACCGAAAATCATTATTTTTTCTCTAGAAAATTAAAAAAAAATGCACAATATAAGGATTGTTTTCAATGTATTTTTTCGCGTAGATTAAGATGAAAATATTGAAAAAATGTTAGAGGTTGGTTTACACCCCTAAATTGCCATTTTCAAGTTTAAAATCAAAATTTCGAAAAGTATGCCATAATTTTTTTTCATTTTTTATTTTTCATTTATACTTTTTTGATCCCCTTTCAACTTGTCAAAGTCGCATAATGGGCGTCACCCGTTAACTTGCCCAAAACAAAGGTTGAGGGCAAAACTCCATGAATTTACCATTATATCTTGTTGCATAACACAAAAATAATCGAGTTTGGTATGTATTCCTAGGTTTATGAGGTCGCTGATTACGAATCAAGGGTTAAATTTTCAAAAAACAAAGTGGTGGACCCAATATGGCGGCCAATTTTTGTAAAATTCAAAAATTTTCAAATCCTAAAAATACTACTGTAATCTACATCAAATTCTACATAAAGAATGTATTTTGTATATTTTTTATTGAAGTCGCCATTACAAGAAAAAAGTTCATTCAATTTTCTTTAATAATAGTTAATGTATTCATGATTTACGATTTTGGTAATTTGTTCATGACAAGTTAGGATTCATTTTTATAACTGATTATTAACTTTGTCATTTTTGACACTGATTAAAAATTCGAAGTTTAATTTTTAAACAAAAATATATCAGACTCTACATTGAAGCCTTCTGTATTCCGAAATTTATTCATTATAATGCGGGTTTGTTTCGAAAACATATTTGTTGTATGTGTGCAAGAAAAATAAACGAGGAATGGTTAAATAAAAAGTTAAAGATGTTTATTCTCTGTTTTATTTTTTTATTTCCAATTTACTAGTAATTAAAAATTTTTTTTTTGTAAAATTAAACAAAAAAAAACTTAAGNATTAAAAAAAATAATTAAAGTTTAATTGTCAATCTTGAGTATATTTGTTATCAAAAAGGACACAGATGGATCTGAGAGTGCTTATTTCAATAAGTATCGCCATCTATAAACTGTACCAATTGATATGATGATAAATATATGATTATATCAATCAATAGTTACTTCTATACCTATTGAAATATCACATTTATATCCAAGAAAAAGAGAATCTAAGAATACTGCGACTAATTTAAAATAAGTGTTTTTCTAAAAAAATATTCGTGTAAGTCTGTATTAAAATAACATATGGTGAAAAATAACTTATAACTTGTTAATTCTTTTTAAAGTAGCGCTATATCTCATAGCATATAATTCAGTTTTAAATCAGTTTTATTTTTTTGCTTTTGATCCAAACTATAAATTGAGCTTACAGCACTTTCTCTTACACATGTGAGTTATCCGACTCTAATGCTATCACAAATGTGAATTACAGTTACGATTATAATCGTAAAGGTGATGTCGTTGGCAATGACAACATGAATTAAATTCATTGTACAAGTTGTTGCAAAATGCAAGCACCTTTAAAAATTTTTAATTTTTGTATATTTCCTCCGATTATTACACAAATATTTATACTTTTTAAACATTTTTGAAGTTAAATAAAAAAGATAAAGGTTTCATGTATTTCACTACAAACGTCAATTCATTACTGACTTAGTTCTGTTCCGTAGGATCTAGAAAATTTGTTAGATGATCTTCTTACGTGGCTCGAAGGATTAGAAAAAACTCTTACTTCTTTGGAACCTCAATTGTTACCTGACGATAAAGTTGCTATTAATGCCCTCATTTCTGAACACCGAGAATTTATGGAAAATACAGCCAAACGACAGAATGAGGTTGATCGTGTTTGTAAGACGAAGCATATTAAGCCAATTAAAGATAGTCGCAGGTTCTTCAAAGGCAGACTATCATCATTTACGTACGTATACTAAGAAATCATTTCATTTTCTAAATCTTTATTTTATAGTATTATTTTTCTGTAGTTGGTTAAAATGCGTTGTAGTTTAAGTCAACAGTCTGTGTATTATTTTGATTTGCGTTCGTGCATACTGTACGTTTGTTTGTTATAGTTTCTTTTCACATAAAAAACTTTCTTGGAACATAATATAAAAAAAATTTACTAAACAACTATTCAAGATATGATAGCTACAACAGCTTCGAAAAAGAATTTCGTTATAAATTGAGTACTTAGCTTAATAAATAACCAAAAGTTTTATACTGGTAAGTGTATGTAAGCACGTCTACGTGTTAGTGTGCACATATATGTGCGTCAGTTTGTATTTATTGTGTATCCATGAAGATTTACAAAAAAACTCTGTTAACGTGTTTCCAAAATTGACAAAAATTTAACTAATATTTTACTTTTAGACATCCCTTTTTCTCATGTAAAAATATCGTAAGAGCGTAAGTATAATGTATACAATGTATATAAAACATATGGCGAAAAAGACTTTCAAGACATGAAGTTTTCGATGACTTTGATTGATTTTTTTTTTTTTAATTTGATTATTATAACAATTATTAATTCATTACAAGAATTATGATAAAAAAGTTTTAATGATAATTTTCAATAATATTAATTGACAATATAAGATAGTTACTTGTTTGTATAATAATCAAAGTATTTTATCGTTAACAAATGAGTTGATAAATGTTTAAACAGCGTCATTCTAAATTTTTGTAACTAAATGATAACTAGATATTAACTAGTATTAATATATTAATACAGTAATTTAATAAATTAGTTCATGTAGACTTTTCAATCATTTTGCAGCTGGTGCTGCTGCACCGTTACCGCCACTATCATCTACAAGAAAAAACAATTTAAAAGAAGCAAGTGACCATGAACTGATTAAATGATTACTTGATCACTCATGAAAGACAAATTTTTTTTCTATTCAATCACTAAAAATACTTTAACTGCAGATACTTATCCTATATTATTTTATTAACTATGCACTTTAGACAATACAATGTTATTCGTTTTATCTAATTCGTTTAATTTATTCTTGATGAATGATTAATTAATTTTTCCATACTCGAATAAAAAATTACATTTTTCATAAAAAAAGCCTGTCGGTATAAATGCCTTTTTTTTGAAAGTTTGTTTTGATAAATTGTTTATTTCAATAACAAAGACTAACTATGTTAATTTTTACTGTACAAAATATAGAATAATGCCGATTACTGTCTTGTATAAACTGTTGTATAATAATGACATACTTTTTAGTTAACCAGCAATAATTTTAATCTTTACATGAAATTTAAACATTTCTGAAAATTTTAGGATGGATTCATTTTATGCACCACTATTTGAGAAGATGTTTTTGAGAAACATGACTATTATACCTTTTTTAAAGTTTTTAATGATGACTAGGTGAGCCTGGAAATTTTCGTGATTTAAATATTTTGGTTCCAAATTTATTTTTATCTCTTTATCTGTTCGACTAATGAATTTCCGCTAAACATGAACTTAAATACAGTATATGTTCTTAATTTCCTTAATTTTGTATAGTATTTGTCACATGTTACGCGTTCAAAGAGTTTTATGTTGCTTTGAACTCCAATGACACGCACCTTTGAGCTGTATCAGTCAAATATTTTTCTCAGTGTACACTGTAATCTAAGTCCGTAATTAGAATATAATGACAAACATCATTGCGTTTCCGATTTAAAGTACATAAGTAGTTTTTATCTTGTTTTTTCCTATTTTTTCAAGAAGTTTTAGAAATTCATGTTATTACATGTATTTGTTGTTGATTTTTCCGAAAAGCCGCAGTGCATAATGTTTTATTGTTTTTTAAGTAAATATATTTAAGAATTCATTTCAAGTAACATGTAATTGTATATCAAGTTTGTACCGGAAATTGTTTTGTTGTCTTCCTAATGGCAATAATTTCTAAACAGACTTATTCCCTTAGGAATTGTAAACTTGTTCGAATTTTTCTGTTAGATCAGGTAAAAGCTTTCATTTATCATCTTGTATCTTCAGGAAATGTACTACTCATTACATATTTACATACAATACATACCTCTTTTATTTAAGTACCATTTTCGTTATTTCTAAATTCACTTTAATTTATAAAAACTGTCAGACTTTACTTTTTTTTTATTGATTACTTTTGCATCCTTTTTTATTTAACTCACTTAATTAAATGCTAGTAATAGAGGTTGTATCTTTTTTTTTTTAATATTAATCCGTTGTTCTTTGCGGAGTTATTTATTACTCTGTACAAAATCGATGAATAAAATTACAAAATGTGGTATACCGTAAGAAAGGAGATTGCTTTTTTTTTATAAATCTGGACTGCTGGATTAACATATTGTGTATTAATATTATTTAATATTTCATCAAATAATTCTTTGTTTTCAGTAATTTTTTTTTTTTTTATTGCATCGTACTCTCTATAATAAACTTTTTAAGTGTTTTTGCAAGTTTCTTTTATGTGGACGATTTAATATTTATACTGGATATATATAAAGTTGTTGATTGTACAGCACTACTATTAACCTATTTTCTACAACATTCTAAACTTAAATACTGTTATTATTCTTATAATTACTATTACTTTTCATTATTAGTTTGATATTTTATACATAATTTTTTTTATAAACAAATATGTAGGGCTTGGCTACTTTCTTTTTTCTCCTTTACGTGACCTCGCACGCGCACATACATACACATACACACGCACACGCATACTTTGAATTTGAAAGCTATTTTATTGTGCCAAGGATTCACCACACAAATGGCAAGAGAGGAAAAGATATAGACCGTGATATTTTCTATTTAATATAGTTCATTTGTTTTTACCCCCTTTTTCCCTGCCCATTGTTTTTTTCAACTGCAAGTACTTATTATTTAAGGTGAAATTATGCTAACTTTTAATGCTTTTTTATTGTAAGAGTAACGCACTATTCTCCTTTATGCCCCATTCACCTGTACGACTTTTGAACTGTTTTTATAAGTTCCTTCGTGGACCCCTCGCAGAACCTTCACAGCCTACCCATCAAATGAGGTTTAAAATTTTTGATTTTTCCATTATTAGAAATGTTTGTTGACTTCTCCTCTCATCTAACATTTTAGTCGTAGCTCTCTACATTCGTTCTTGCTCCGCATACCTTATACAAATCAGATAGACACATAACTCTATCATGTGTTTTGATTTAACATTTATACCCTGTTACTCTCATTAGTTTTTTTTGATGTTAGAAATATTATAGATTAAAGTAAAATATTTAACTTTTTATATTTTCTATGTTTATTATTTAACTGTTTCATAAATTTTTAGTATTTTTTGTGCTATGAGTAATTGTTAAATGAATACTAGTTTAAATTGGTTGGTCTCAGAAGTAAAGTCAATAAATATATTTATAAATTATTTATAGCTTAAGAATACATCTAAGATAAAAGTATATTCACTTTTGATGGATGCAAAGTACGACTTTACCCCTGGAGAGAAGAACGTTGTTTAAACCTTGGGCACAAACATACAAAGGTAGTACAATACCGAAAGTAAAATGTTATGGTGATATCTAGAGATATGCCAAAATTTCATAGCACAGGATAGCACACTAACACCATGGTATTATAAAAATTAGAAGTGAGTTTACAAGCCTAACCTATCAGCCTATTAGAAGGCTTGGGAAAAGTGACTTTCCAAACGAGATTTTTCACGAATAAAAGCAGAGAGCATGTAACTTCTGCAAGTAACAACAGCAAATACGAATCATTATGTTGACTAAACATGGTTAAGGTAGTCTATCACCCACCACTTTTTAACTTCAGCTCCTTGGAAAAAATGTATGTTATAAGTTAAAAAATTTTTTTTTTCGGAACAAATTTAAAAAAAATATTCCTACCACATTGATTTTTGACATAATGAAAATGCAAGTTTAAAATTATAACACAGGTTTTAGTGAGACTTTTCAAATACAGGCAAAAAGAGCTACTTGAGTTACTAAGAAACTTTGTATTTATACTGGTGACCCAACACACTACCTTAAGCGATATTTGTAAAAATGAGGCGATTCTGCTCTAAATAAGTAATTTATATTCCTCATATATGTCAACTGTATTATTATTAGAGAATACATGAAATAAACTCATTATTTTCTAAAATATTACAGCTGACTCTAAACTCATAATTTTTCAGTGAATTTTTATCCCATGCGTTCTATGCTCATTTAACCAATATACCGGAGTAAACGAAATTTCAACTGTCAAATAAACAAATGCAACATAAAGCGTTTAATACAAAGTTACCTGAAACTTTTGATTGTATTTTAATGACAAAATAATTTTTTTATCCTCAAGCAATGAGTCTAAATAAAACACTACACTTTAAAGATTCTGCTTTTTTAATTCTTAAATAAATCATTTCAATCTTAAAAATTTATTACAATTTAACTAAATGCTCTTGATAGTATAAGCTTTTTAGTTGTAAAATTTATTATTTGTCTGAAGTGATAAATACAAATAAACCTGATGATCTTTATTTTCTGCACCATTTATTAGGAGTTTGATTATTTACATATCAATGAAATACTAATAAATGGTCAAACTGTTCAATTACATTTTAGTTTGTCTCTTTATTTTTTCGAAAAGGAATCCTAACAAAGCAAACACCCTTAAGAATCGTTACTTAAAATCTAGGTTGGCTAGTAATTTTAATTAATTTTTCCAAGTCATAGTCAATCAATAACTAATTACCAAATGCGTTCTACCCTCTTTAATATAAAGAAACCAGACGTGTAGCACTCGGGGACTGCCGCGGTAAAGCTATTGCATAGCTTTTTTTATTAGTTTATGCAATTATAATTGTTTATTTATTTTTTATTTATGCACTATTTTTTTTTCTTCGATATTAATTCAAGTTACACTTTTTGATAGTAACCGATAAGAAAAGTTTTCACAGC